TCCTCCTCCTCCTCCTCCTCCTCCTCCTCCTCTGAAACCAGCCAGTCTGTGTGTCAGTGCGCTGCGAGCATCGGGCCAAGTCCAACCGGCGGGACGGCGAGGCGCACACACGGATGAGAAAGAAAAAAGACGCACGGACGGAGCGCGCTCCTCGGCCCGGGTCCTGCTTCAGGCTCTGCACAGATGATGCGCTTCCAGCTGGGTCTGAAGCTCCACCACGCTCTCCTCCCGGTTCTCCTGCTCGCTCCACAAGTTTGACCTGCGCCCGGGCTCGTTTTTCCCTTTCATCTGCTCGTTCCGCGCTGTTTTCATAGATGCTCGGATTTATCCTGGACTTCTTGGATCTTGATTTTCTAACAGTTTCCATGAAGAATCAGTGGATTTACAGACCTTCTTTACATTTATAAGAGAGAGAGAGAGAAGGGGGGGATTGTAATGCGCACAGACTGCGTCTGTATGAGGATGGAGCTGCGGATACAAGTGACATCTTTCTTATTTTAAACCATTTTTTCTCCATTTTCTTGTGGCCTCGTCTCCTTTTTGTGTTTTCAACCAGCTGACAGCATCAGTGTGGTCAATCCCGACATGTTGGGAGGCTGATAATCCGGGGAGAAAAGCAGGTAATGGGGAGAGGAAGCAGCCAAAGAGAACAAGGGAACATTGTTCGGGAAGAAGACAATTAGGGCGCACAAAAAAGGGGGCAACAAAAATCTGCCTTTTTTATTTTTACATTTTTTTTTGGAGGTGATAAATCGCATAAATCAGATTCTGTGGAGTTCCATTCCCAACCAGGAGTTTATGCTGTTTTTATGCTGCAGATTCATGGGAAAGTCATGGAATTGAAATAGGGACGGTGTTTGGTGTTTTGGAGATCTGGACGCACGGATTGAGCAAGAGTTTCTTTTAATTTGCTTTGTGTCGCTTCAGTCCATCCAGCGTCGCTTCATTTCGGATCCATGTGGTTGTGTGTGGAAGGTTTGGACTTCACTCTCTGACTGGTTTTTCTGCCTGATCCATTGTTCCCTCTGAGAGTCCCCTTGCAGAGTGTGCAGCGCCGTGCCCAGGAAAGTCCTGCAGGTTTTTTTTTCCCCCTCTTCTTCTTTTTGTAGATGGGGCTGCACATGCTGGGTGTCAGGGTGGAAATGGCGTGTCGAAGAAGCGGGAATGGGTTGTGGATCCTGCTGATATTCTTACTGGATTTACTGGGAACGACAGCCAGCAATATGGAACCCATCTACTGGAATTCCCTGAACGAGAGGTACAGATTCTTTTTTTTAATTATTATTTAAATTGAGCAGATTTTGCTTTAAAAAAATGCAACATGGATGTGAGGACTTGAAGCCTGCAGGAGTCCAGTAATGCAGGCTGACATTCACACCATAAAGTTTAGAGTGCAGGGCCTTCTCCCTCCTCTGTAATGAGTTTTCTATTAAGGTTTCCATTCCGTCAGCGTTGTTGCTCCATTCTTCCAAAATCATCTAAATTATTTACAAGTGTTTGGACTTTGATCTAAACAAAGTAATCTGAGTTGGTCACATTGATTTATTGGGTTCTTCTCTCTGGAAAAGTCTCCAGGCCAATAAAAAAATAGAACTGGAAGCTGTGGATAATGGACACTTTATGTGAGGCTCTGATTGCTGTTGCTGGATGACCTTGATTCAGGTCCAGAGGCCCCCCGGGCCCCTCAAACACCCAGCTCTGCCCACCATCATTTGCATCTTTTCTCTCTCTCTCTCTCCCTCTGGTGAAGGTGTCAGGCATTAGCAGAGGAAATGTCATTTTAAACACCTCTCCGCTGTCCACCACTAATGGCCACTTTTCCCCCCAACAGCTCTGCCAATTTCTCTGAGTCTGACTAGACCTGGTGGGCAAACAGGGGGGGCTTTTTAAAGACAGCAGGGCCCCAAACTAACACTTCTGTTTTTAATGAATGCATATTGCTTTATTTCACTTATTGCCAATAAGGTGCAAAGTCACTACAAGAGGTTCACAAAGGGTTTTTGTACGAGTCCACATGGAAACTGTTTGAGAAGCTGCTACATGTGGATATATTATATTTTAATGGGCAACAGGTGTGTTGGGTTTTCATGTGGTCGGCTTAAATATGATGATTTATGATATTTATCTCAAATACGATTTGGATTCAGTTCACAAATCTGTGGTCGATATGATGTTGTTTATCAATGATGTGGATCAATGTTTTAGTTTTGCCTTGATGTAATTGAACCATTAATTAGTTAATCGATATGTCGATGATGATCGATGTTTTGTTACTAAACAGAGCTTTTTGAAAATGATGATGTCATTCGCCTGCGTCTAACCTTTGACCCTGATAATGTTAGATTACATGTTTATGTTGCTCAAACTGCCTGCAGCAAAACTTCTGTATTACTTCAACAAAGAGAACTTTTTACGGATTCAGTTTTTTGTTTCTGTTTTCGTCTTTGTGTTTTTTTTTTTCGTGTGTTTACAGTTTGGAGCACGCACCTCATGCTTTCTCTGTTTCTGGTAGAGTTTCATGGCAGCGCCACAAACAGGCATTTAAATTTTGCAGAGTGGTGGGGAAAAAAATGGAGAATTTTCAGAAACTTTCCACGGGAAGTAAAGTTGGAGAACTTTGGGATTTAACTGGAGATAATTTAAACCAGTTGTCATATCCAGTTTTGTTTTTGTCACAGGATGGTTTGGAATTTGACCCAAAGTTTAAAGAAAGTTTTTTTTTTGTCGTCGTTTTAATCCTTTTACAACTCGAACAAAAATCTACGTTATTTTTAAAATCCTATTCACGTAAAACCAAAACAAAAAACCAGTAAATAGCATTTAAAACTGTCATTTTCCCCAGCAAATCCTTGCTAAGTGCCAACCTGCTCTATTCTAAATTCCAAGTTAAAGTTTCTAACAAGTCCTGCGAACCTCAGTTCGACTGCATTTTGGTTAGTTTTCAGTGTTTTCGTGGTAAATCCCATTTCCAGAAAAGACACTTTGTTTACGAGGAGACCTGGGTGGACCTGGCTGCTGTAAGGAGGGGGGGCTCTGCTGAAAGGCCAGCTTGTATGGAGGTGAAAAAAAACCAGCAACAAATTGGAACAAAGCTTGATTAAACCATCGGCATGGACCACTGGTCTTGAATGGCTCATATCTTCTTGTGAATATGCTTACATTACACCCCTCATTATGGAAGGGGAAAAAAAACAACCTTACACAGACGGAGAGAAGCTTCCCTGAGCTCACACCCATGCCAGAGGCTCCTTCCTGGGGGCTAACATGTTTTCAGCTCGGCCATGTGCTGGAGGCCCACCATAGATGCGACCGTGCGTGGGCCCCCGCTGTGAAGTGATGCACGAAGCCCTTAATGAGGGCTTTTTGTCAGCAGTGGGTGGATTCACCCAACGAGAGGGAGGAGTGGGGGGTTGAGTGTGGAATCGGACACAGGAGGGTGATTTCTACGCAGAAGCTTTGGCGTTTGAGGCCTTCCAGGTGAACCGGCGTCATCGTCTCCTACTGGAGCTGGGTGTTTAAAGGTGGACGTCGAGGCTCAGCGATCGGCCAATTAGACGGCTGATGGCTTCGGCTCCAAACTTCAGTCATTCCTCCTCATCTACTCTCTCATATATTCAAGATACAAAGCCTTTTGTATACCATGAGGCTTATTCATGGAGCTTACTATTCATACTTAATCAGCTTAGTCATTCTTTGAGTTTATTTTCTTAGTCCTTTACATACTTCCACGTGCTTGTTTCTCCTTACTTTGACAAGAGCTGTGCTGTAGTTTCAGCCGCCCTAAGGCGAAATAGCTTTTTTGCTCAGGGCTGAAATATGTTGAGAGCCACTTGCTTGTTCAAACAGGGCGCATCTTCCAGCGATAAGCTTCCCGGAGCCCACACACGTCAGGTTTGTAGTTCTTAAAGGAGGCAGAGAGTAAGCAGAGGCTCGTATCCATCAGGTGCCGGGGTGAGTGAGTGTGTGTGTGTGTGGTTCGTGTCTTGTCTGTGGTGCAAATAGACGACGGTCACGTTGTTAACCCAGAGACCTTTTCTAGATATGAGTCTTTGAAGTGCAGACTGTCCACCTGCAGCTCAGCTCCAATCTTTCTTTACAGCGCTGTGAGGCTTCTCTCCGCCACCGTCTGCTCCATTTTTTTTTTAAATATCTTCTCCCTTCAGCAGAGCAATAATGTTTTTAGACATGTGTGTGTGTGTTGGTTTGGCTGTACTGTTAGCAAAATATCTCAACTACTGATTATATTTTAACAAAACCTTCAGAAAACAAGGCGTTCACAACAGACTAGCTTTTGGACTCAACCCAATTCAAGATGGCCGCCACAGCTCACAAAAATGGTTCTACGGCTGTGAATTTAACAGATATTGAGCTCAAATTTGGTGTGGTAGTAGCTGATTGTCAACCCTAACACATACTTTGATTCAAGCCAATTATGAAATACATAAGTAGCGGTCAACCCTGTTTGGTTGTTGGCAAAATAGCTTATGAACCAGGTAAACCAAGATGGCCACTACAGCAGACAAAAATGGCTTCAAATTAGCCAATTTTAAAAATATTGACCTAAAATTTGGTGTGGTAACAGGTGATGTCATTCCTAATATACTGTATACTTTGATTCCAGCCAGTCATGCAACATATAACAGTTACAGTCAGCCCTGTTTGACTGTTAGCAAACTAGCTCCTAAACGGTGAAAAGAAGATGGCTACCACAGCCAACATAAATCGCCTCAATTCAGCCAACTTTAAAGATATTGAGCTCAAATTTGGTGTAGTAGTAACTGATGGACCTCCCCAACACATACTTTGATCCCAGCTAAATGTGTAGCATATAATAGTTACAGTCAGCCCTTTTTAGCTGTTAGCAAAATAGCTCATGATCCAGTTAAATCAAGATGGCCACTGCTGCTAATCAAATTTAGCCTGAAGAAAAATGGCTCTACCTGCAGTAAATTTTACAAATAGGAGCTAAAATGTGCTTTGATAGTAGCTGAAAGTCCTTGCAACACAAACTCCAACTCTAACAGGTCGTGGGAGATATTACACGAGATTGCACGTAATATCTAAAACAGCTAGGTGGAATAATTCCCTGAGCATGTTTACCCCCTGCTGTCAGTTTCCGTCTGTTTCTATCTCTTCTTCGCTCCGTCACCCCCCCACCACCCCTTCATCACATTGACCAGACGTAACAAATTGGAAACATGTGTCACATCCAGCAACTAATTACGACGCCACAGCAGCTGGCGATGCAACCAAAACTGTGTCAGGGATGACAGAGGTGAGGGGGTGCGGTTTGTCTCGATGGCTCCGTGCTCCATATAAGTAAGCAATCCAAACACTCGGGGTCATTAAGAGAAACATCCATCCACGTATTGACCGCCCGGGTCACTGCGGCGACTCCGGCCTGGACAGAGAAAGGAGACGGAGGTGTTCTGGGAGGAATATAAACAGAGAAACCAAAGAGAGAGAGAGCAGAGCCGGCGCTCCTAACCCTAAGTAAATCGATAGCAGTTAAGTCTCAAGTGCCAATACAGTTTCTGCTCCAGGAAGAGGGAACTGAACCGGAGCGATCACCTTGAGAAGACACCGCACCCTCCCACCTCCACAACACGGACTCACATTATCCTTATCTCAGCATCTCCCATTATTGGTCTTACACGGCCCCCCTAATGAAAGATCGACTCGGAGATTACAGCTGGGGAGTTTGTGGAGGATGAAAGTGGGTGTTTGGAGGTGGGAGGACCGCCAGGGTGGCAGGTGACCCATAAAACTCATCAAACACTTTACACACAATCTGAATTAGGGGCTGGGAGAATTAGGGGTTTTTGGTCACACAGCATATGGAGTTTTGTAGTTTTTGGCTCCTGATTCCAGCGTCTGCTCTCGAGGCCAAATCCTCACTCCTTTTTTTTTAAATTCTCTCTTTTTCTTTCCTTACTTTGGTAAACGGCTGTGGATTATTGTAAACGGCTGCTTAGGGTGGGCGTCTTCTCGCTCACGGTAACATGTAATACAACTATTCCCCCTAAGATCCACATTAAAATTTAATTTCCCTCCTCTCCTCATCCTGGTTCTTAATAATTCAATAATCGGCGACTAATTGGCGCCGGATAAAAGAGTAGCTATAAGTGGGCTAAATGTTTTGGCAAAAAACAAGAAAAACTAAAAAGGCTTAAATCACAAACTGCTTTTAATGCCAGTTTTAGATCGAGTTGTTTTTGGTTAAACTTTAAATTTATTATCAGTTATGAGATTTATTGCATGACGTGTTGTGCTACCACATCGGATTTTAGCTCTGCGTAAATAAAACATTGTGGCTCCGCCCCTTTTTTACTAAAACAAACATTTGTTGTAAATGTTGACAGTGAGAGCGGTTTGAAGTGGAGTCAGTCGGAGGTCAAAACGGATGTTTTATTCCAGGAGCGGCATTCCGACACCTGAAACTCCACACCCGCTCTGAGCCGAGTGAAATCCGCCCGGTCACGAATGATCCATGCCGAATCCTGTTCAGCCTCATTCTCAGGCTGGATCTGTTCAAACAGTTTCCTGTTTTATCTGTTCAACAATCTGCTGCGAAAACAGACGGACAAACGGAGGAGCAGTTTAGATGATTTGTTAAAGAATGCGGATAAAGGTGCTTTGTTTACGTTGAGTGTGTACCTGCATTTACTACTTCAGAATAACCATTTTTTTTAAAAATGATGTCATAGTTTTTGGTGAGTTTCTTTAAAACAAACAGGAAAAACTTGAGCGAGAATAAGAGTAAAATAATCCAAACCATACTGTAGGATCTGCCCGTTAACCCGAGCAGAATTCTGCTTCGCCCTCCTGTTAGTGAAAGAGGAGTGTGTGTGTGTGTGTGTGTGTGTGTGTGTGTGTGTGTGTGTGTGTGTGTG